CTGGGCTCACGCGAGTCTCCTGTCTCAGCCTCCCAAGTAGCTGGGATTACAGGCGCCCGCCACAACACCCGGCTATTTTTTGGTTGTAGCCATTATTGTTGTTTGGCGGGCCCGGGCTGGAATTGAACCCACCACTTTAGGTGTATGTGGCTGGCGCCTTAGCTGCTTGAGCCACAGGCGTCAAGCCGATATTTTTTACTTCTATTGTTTGTTTGGGGGTTTTTCTTTTGAGACAGAGTATTTTTTTTTTCCTTCGATAGAGTGCTATAGCGTCATAGCTCATAGCAACTCAAACTCTTAGGCTCAGCCTCCCAAGTAGCTGGGACTACAGGTGCCCACCACAACACCCAGCTATTTTTAAAGATGAAGTCTCACTCTGGCTCAGGCTGGTCTTGAACCTGTGAGCTCAGGCAATCCACTCACCTTAGTCTCCCAGAGTTTTAGCCACCACGCCCAGCCCTGAGACAGAGTCTTACTTTGTCACCTTGGGTAGAATGCCATGGTATCATAGCTCACTGCAACCTCAAACTCTTAGGTTCAAGCAATCCTCTTGCCTCAGCCTCCCAAGTAGCTGGGTCTATGGGCACTCATCACAACACCCGGCTATTTTTAGTGATGGGGTCTCCTACCTCGGGCTGGGCTCCAACTCCTGAGCTCAGGCGATCCACCCACCTCTGCCTCCCTAGGATCACAGGTGTGAGCCACTGTGCCTGACCCCTATTTTTGTTTCTTACCTGTGTTTATGATATCTTGAGCTCCTATGGCTCAAAGGGGTAGGGCGCCAGCCCCATATGTCAGAGGTGGTGGGTTCAAACCCAGCCCCAGCCAAAAACAAAAACAAAAGTAAAAAAAAATGTTTATGGGCTCAGCGCCTGTGGCTCAAGTGGCTAAGGCGCCAGCCACATACACCTAAGGTGGCAGGTTCGAATCCAGCCCGGACCTGCCAAACAACAATGATGGGTGCAACCAAAAAATAGCCAGGCATTGTGGCAGGCGCCTGTAGTCCCAGCTACTTGGGAGGCGGAGGCAGGAGACTCGCTTGAGCCCAGGAGTTGGAGGTTGCTGTGAGCTGTGATGCCACAGCACTCTACCCAGGGGGACAGCTTGAGGCTCTGTCTCAAAAAAAAAAAAAAAAGTTTATGATATCTCTTGCCAAAGTAAAATTTTAAGTTTTTGTACAGTCAAATATGTCCCTCTTCTCTTTTACAGCTTCTGGGTTTCCAGTCTTGATTAAGAAGGTTACCCCCCTCTCAGATTGTACATGTAGTCTCCTAGATTCTCTTATAGGCTTTGTATGATTTTAAGGTTTTAGTTTTTATGTGTAAGTCTTTGAATACAGCATAAAATAGGCATGCAATTTTGTTTTCTCTCAGGAAGATACTAATTGTGCCAGTACCATATTATATACTCTCATCCTTTACCCCCAGAATTCAACTACCACCTTCATCATCATGTTATCATATTTACAAGACCTTAAGACTTTAAAAAGACAAAAAGAGTATTAGTTTCAGTATGTCAGTATTGTCATCCTGATTTTGTGTCTCACCTAGTGACAGTGGATTGACTCACAAGGCCTCAAGAGCCCCTGTCTCACCTTATCTCTGCTTCTCTTTCAGGTACTGCTGCCTGATGAGGGCGTAGCCCCTCTCTCTGCTGCAGGGACAGTGAAGGAGGAGAAGCTCCTGCTGGGGGAAGGACTGTCTTCTTTTCTTCCAGTTCAGTCCATCAAAGAGGAAGAAACCCCTCCTGGGGAGGAGACACTGCACTTAGCAAGACCCATCAAAGTGGAGAGCCCGCCCTTGGAAGAGTGGCCCTCCCCGTACCCATCTTTCAAAGAGGAATTATCTCACTCCTGGGAAGACTCATCCCACTCTCCCACCCCAAAGTCCAAGAAGTCCCACAGTGGCATCAAGTCCCCAGCCCGGCGTGTCTCGGAAATGCTCGTAATTAAACGCAGGGAGAGGAGGGAAATGAGCCGGTCTCGAAGGAAACAGCATCTGCAGCCTCCCTGCCTTGATGAGCCTGAGCTGCTCTTCTCAGAGGGCCCCAGCACTTCCCGACGTGCCACAGAGCTCCCTTTCCTACCAGACTCCTCTGAGCCTGTCCCCCAGCTTGTCTACTCTCAGGAGGAGGGAGGATCTTTTAAGACACCCATAAAGGAGACACTGCCCATCTCCTCCACTCCCAGCAAATCTGTTCTTCCCAGAACCCCTGAATCCTGGAGGCTCACACCCCCAACCAAAGTAGGAGGGCTGGATTTCAGCCCAGTGCGAACCCCCCATGGTACCTTTGGCAACCTGCCTGATTCCCTGGGGCTGATGGATCTCAGCACCACCCCACTGAAAAGTGTTCCCCTCTTTGACTCACCCCGAGAGCTCCTCAATTCAGAACCCTTTGACCTTACCACTGACCCCTTTGGCAACTCTTCCCCCTCAAATATGGAGGTCCCCAAGCCAGGCTCCCCAGAGCCACAGGCTTCCAGCCTTTCAGCCAATCGTTCTCTGACAGAAGGCCTGGTTCTGGACACGATGAATGACAGCCTCAGCAAGATCCTGCTGGACATCAGCTTCCCTGGCTTGGAGGAGGACCCGCTGAACCCTGACAACATCAACTGGTCCCAGTTCATTCCTGAGCTGCGGTAGAGACCTGGTCTTGTCCTTGTGCTCAAGCTGTCCACCATTCCAGGAATTCATGTGTCTCCGCAGTCCAAGGGTCTGTGTACCCCAGGCCTCTGAGTGAGGACAGCAGTAGGGGCCCATCCTGTATCTCCTCGCTCTATCCTGCTTGATTATGCCAAGGCAGCTATCACACCCTGGCCACTGCTGAGACCTTATACTCCCAAGAGACTCTGAGCCTTCTACTCTCCCTGCCAGGAGCTGAAGAGTAGGAATGACGAAAGCAATGAAGAAAACAGATTAGGAACTCCCCAAACTGTTTCCATTCTGTGCCCAGCAGTTTCTTACCTTCTCTGATCCTTGCAGGGTGGCTTTTGTAAATAGTGTAAATTCTCTAAATTCTCCTCTAATTATAAATGTAAGCTTATTTCCTTAGATCATTATCTAGAGACTGCCAGAAAGTGGGTAGGATGACCATGGGTTTCCATTTGTTTTTTTTTTTTTCTTGCTTTTAGTTCCTAGAAAATGGAGGGCTTGCAGTGCACGGTTTCTTCCAGGCCAAGGTACCTGCATCGAGGGTTCTTTATTGTAGTCACTCAGACAAGCAGATCTGCTTGCCAGGGTCCTTTTTATTACCCCTCCCTCCCACCTCCCCATATTTCCAAGTCACCTTTCCTGCATGAAGAAATCCTGGTTAAAAAGGTCTTTTGTATTGGGTTGGGAGTTGAATACAGGGTGGGGGGATGGATGCATCTAAAGCAAACAGTGGGTACCCAGATGTGCCCCCATTAGATATTTCTCTGATAATGTCCCTAATCATGCCAGGAAGACTCAGACTGATGAGAACTCAGGCAGAGGCTTGAGAAGGCTGAAAAGGCCCCCGACCTGCCTGGCTTCCTTTGCTTGCACCTCAGCTTTGCAAAGAGCCATCCTAGGCCCCAGCTGACTGCAAGAATGTGAGCCAGCTCAGAAACACTACTACAACTACCTGCTCAATAAAACCCAGGGTGGAAGTGTGGTCTCTGGTGTGTTGGTGTCTGGTCCCTTAGGCACAAAGAGTTAGAAAAGAAAGGAGGTCACCAGGAGATGATCAGGAAGAGGCAAAGTCTGACGCTGACCCAAAGGAGTACAGGCTACAGCATGAACTCTCCCTCCCATGCCCTTCATAGGCCCACATTCTCTAACACAGGAGAAGCTACTTACCTGCTCCCAGCTGACCTTTTTCCTTGTTTCTAACCTTATTCCTTAGGATCTCTGTACTTGCTGGTATACTTAGGCCTTTGGAGGCTCCTCACTAAGAGTAAAGCCTATAAGGGGCAGGCCCCCCAGAACATTAGGAAAGGATGGGCCTACTTCCCAGTGCCTTATACCCACCTCCACCCTACCCTGCCAGAGGCTTGGGAATAACCAGCCCTGCTTTTCTCCAGAGGCCTTCCTAGGCAAGTCCCTCCCCAGACACAGCTCCTTTCTCCCGTCAGGATTTACAAAACAGCAATACCCCCAGCCTGTCTCACCTGAAATGTAGCCAGGGGCCCCAGGGACCAGTCTCCAGCAACAGGTAAAGCCCTCCCTGCATCACCACTCAGGCAACATCGCCATAGCAACCCCTGCAGCAAACAATGGTGCCAGAAAGGGCTTCCCCAGAAACCCTCCCCTCTTGGCTCTGAGGCCCAGAAGAATGGCTGGTAACCTGCAAAGATCACTCAGAGGACCAAGTAATCCACCTCATGTCAAAGAACCTTTCCTGAAGGTAGGAGGTGGGCTCACTGCAGCCTACCTTTTTGTACTGTGCGAGGCTGTCAGCTGTCCTATGGTGGGTGATGCTTTCTCCTGGGCAGCAGACCTTGAACCTAACTCTCTGCTGTCTTCCCTCCTCTCTCCCAAACTACTAGGCACATGGAACCACAACAGGGGAGATGTTAGTTGTATTAGGCCACTGGGTGAACTTATAGAAATAAGTTCAAAAAACAAGTGGGGTTTTGAAATAAAAGTCTCAGGTGGATAGGAGAGAGAAGAAATTCCAAAAGAGACACGTTTTTATCATGGCCAGGCCACAAGCTGGGCACCGTGCTGAGTGAGGCCATTTCATACAGCACAGCATGCCAAGTAGGAGCACAGACAGCTGGCTTAAATTCTAGCTGTCGCTGACAAGTACCCTGCACATGTTACTTACTCTCCCTGTGTCTTTTTGCATCTTGAGATAGGAACAATGGCAATACTTGCTCATAGAGTTGTGCTGGTCCGATGAGATGCACATAAGTATTTAGCACAGTGTCAACACCTACTTGCTGCTGTGTGTTGTATGAAGAGCAGGGTCCAGATGAAGGAAGGAGCTACCATTCTAGATGCTTTTTATACTAGTGTTGTAATGAGAAGGGGAAAGCAAGGGTGACAGAGAAACAAGTAACAAAAGGAGATCAGGATGGAGAAACAGACTCGGTTTTTTTGTTTGTTTGAGACAGTCTCAAGCTGTCACCCTGGGTAGAGTGCTGTGGCGTCATAGCTTATAGCAACCTCAAACTTGGGCTTAAGAGATTCTCTTGCTTCAGCCTCCCAAGTAGCTGGGACTACAGGTCCCTGCCACAATGCCTGGCCATTTTTTGTAGTTGTTGCAGTGTCATTGTTGTTTTAGCAAGGTCAGGCCGGTTCAAACCCGCCAGCCTTCGGTTTATGTGACCAGTGCC